GTGGGACTCAGATACAGTTTCTTAGGAAAAGTGATCTTGGTGCCTCTAGCCACCCAGGCAGGATGTCTTCAAAAGGCCACAAAAATGCCCTCTACACTACAGGGAGGGCCAGAGGAGATGGCAGAGTCGATCCCAGGCAGAGAACAACATTTCCAGGGACCTTTCTGCTGTTAGGTTGGGCGATGAGGAAGTGCCCTGGGAAACTGGGGCCTTGCACAGGAGACCAACCTCGCTCTTCCCACGGCTGGCCTTTCTCTGGAGACAGGCGAACTTCCTGTCTCCTCTCTGCCTAAACCTCCTGATTCACAAATGTCCTCTCCACCCTCATGGCAGAAGAGAAGCTTTTCTCCAGTTTTCTTGCTCAATATACATCATGCTCGCCTTGTGTCCTTCTGTCCACATACTTCTGTTCCCTCACTTATGCCACAAGCTGCTCTTCACACTCGGGGAAGTTTTTCCTGCTTAGCAAATCTGCTGCCCATACCTGAGAGCCTGCCTGCTTCTTATCCTTTGGGATCCTCCAAATGTCTGTGCTCTCTCTCTCTCTCTCTCTCTCTCTCTCTCAACATCTGCAATGGTCTCTTCTCTGTGGAAGAGACCCTCAAATATGCACAGAGCTTTCTCTCCTTAAAAAACACACACACACAAATTAACTTCCCCCTCAAGGTCTCCCTTTCTTTTATTCACAAACTCTTTGAAATTTGCTGACAAAATTAACTCTTCTAATAAAAAGTGTGAATTCAATATAATTTAAGAGGGCCTAGAAGGCTAATCACATTGTCAAAAAAAATACAATAACTTACATTCCCTCCTTTACATGCAAAATCATATAAAATATTTAATTTCCACATGGGGTCACCTGTCAGTCACTCACATCCTAGTAAAAAATAGTTCAATCAGGTTGCCATGTAGCACTGCTCTTTAAAGCTTACCCTCTGCAAGATAATTGGGATCTCTTTGTCTCTGTTCTTGAAGAAGCTTTAAAAGGAGGATTTGCCTGCTCCCATCTTGGTGTTCCTAAAACCAGTCCCTTAAAATACTGTTCCTTATTCTCCTCCAGTAAGTCCCTCAATGCGTTAAGTTCCTGATGAAATAAATACTTTGTCTTAGGCCAGACAGACCCTCCCTGACTCTCCTAGATGGAGTGAGTCACACCTTCTCATATTTACCACATATTGTTCTATTACATCCTCACCACACAGCCTTTATCTAGTGCTAACCCACAGACCTCTCCACTACCATACACTCCTCAGAAGCAGGAAGAATGCCCTTTACTTCTTTGTGTCTGCCCCCTTTCTGTCATGCCTTACAGAAATCCCAGGACAGAGAAGGGGCTTGATGAAACATAGAATGGTAAATAACTCTGAGTTCCTATTCCTCCTCATGTCCTCTCATATTTTTGAGTGGTTAGCAAAGCTCCTGCACAGTTCTCAGGAAGAGCAAGCACCCAGACAGCTAGAGGGGTGCTCCTCCCATCCTTGGACTAGCCTCAGGAAAGCAAGGAGTTCACGCTCCCTTCTGCAAGCTTGGTCTGGACTGCAAAATGACTGGGTCACATGGATTTAAGCTCCTCCAACAACTCAGACTATCTCCCTTCTGTCATCCCAGGACCAGGTGGGGCTTTACATACCCCTTTGTGATGCTGGCCTCCAAACAAGGGGCCATTAAATTCTTGACTGTTCCAGAAATAAACCTCGGGTCATGAAGAACCAATTTCTTCTGGAAACACCTCCTGTTATTTAGACTTTAAGGATGGATCAGAGGAAATCTACTTAAGTCATGGCTACTGCCCAAATCTCTACATGGCAGCAGAAGGCAATTTGAGGAGGAAACTGCTTCTTTATGTGGCAGGAAGCTGCACAGGATTAAACAATGCTACCCTAAGTGTTCCACAAAAAAGTGGAGGGAGCCCTTAAGGCACTGCTGAACACACCCTCCTACACAGTTGTTTCATTACCCAATCTTAGTGGTTGTTTTGGCATGTTCCCTTAATAAGATCCAGGCATGAGCTTCAACCACAGCCAAGGGAATCCACAATGACTCTTTCATAGTCACAGAGGGCAACTCTAAGCTACGAACTGAATAGGAAGCTACTGGCTGTATTTGCCTCCTAAGGCTGTTGTAACAAAGTACCACAAACAAGGTGACTTGAAACAATAGAAACTGGGCCTCCCCTGGTGGCGCAGAGGTTGAGTGCTGGGCTGCAAAGCTGCCCTCAGCCTCTGCAGTGCCGGTTCGATCCCCAGCCACTGGCAAGGGTCCCACATGGAGCGACAGACCTCTCCTGCCACGCCCGCTGCTCCCCACAGCAGTGTATTTCATCAGTCTGCCTGTTCTGCTCCCCACTCTAGCTAGTGAATTCTCTTGCCCTCCTGTGCTTCTGACTGTACCCAGTGCTTATATAAATAAATAAATAAATCCTTAAAAAAAAAAATAGAAACTGATTCTATGACTGTTCCAAACCCTAGAAGTTCAAAACCAAGGTTTTGGCAGGGCCATGCTCCCTTGGAAGTCTCTAGGAAAAAAATCCTTCCATGCCTCTAATGGGTGAATCCTTAAAATGCTTGGTATTCCTTGGCTTGTAGCTGCATCACCCCAACTTTGCCTCTCATCACATGGTGCTCTCCCCACTGTCCATGTGCCCTCACCTCTTCTTGCAGGACACCAGTCATTGGATTTAAGGTCTACCCTAATTTTAACTAATTATATCCGTAAAGGCCTTGTTCCAAATAAGGTCAAATATTGAGGTCCCATATAAACCGGATTTTGGGGATGGGGACACAATTCAACCTACTACAGAGGGCATTTTTTGTACCTTTCCAGTTTTCTCCATCTCTTACTCCAGTCCACAAGTCTGCAGCTACAAAGGGAGCCCCAATCTATCGGCACTAGATTACCCTGTCCTCTCCCACTCCACTTCCTTCATGTCCTTAATTTTCTCCTAACCTGTGTTAGATTTTGTGTCTAATACCACAACCCCCTCTCTACACACCCCTCAACCCCATCCCTTCTCTCAGTTCATTGTACTCACCTGGTTCAATTAACTCTATACATATTCTACCCTTCACTCAGGCAGCTGGTCTAGGCTGAGAGCATACACCTTAATGAGTGGTCTCCCTTTAATGTCACAAACTTTAAGAGGGCTTACAGAACTTCTTGATCACCTAACATGCTCCTAAGTTTTCCTGGATCTACTTCAAAGTTCTCTTGGATCCTGGTGTGATGGCCACTAATTAGCCAATAAGGTCAAGTCACTCTACTTTTTTTTTTTTTAAGATTTATTTATTTATACAAGCACTGGGTATAGTCAGAAGCACAGGAGGGTGAGAGAATTCAGCAGAGCCAGAGTGGGAAGCAGAACAGGCAGACTGACGAAATACACTGCAGAAGGGAGCAGCGGGTGCGGCAGGAGAGGTCTGCATGCCATGTGGGACCCTCACCGGCCAGCAGGGGAACAAATGGGCACTGCAGAGGCTGAGGGCAGCTTCACAGCCCAGCGCTCAACCTCTGCTACCGGAGAGACCCCACTCTACTTTTTAAACTCCCACCTAATTTACACCTTGAAAGCTTCTGACATCCTGTCACTGTCCTTCTCACCATCAGCTAATGACCTTACTTCTTATTTCATTGAGAAAACAAGCAATCAGCAAAGAATTTCATATCCTCCCAATTCCAAAACAACTATCCTACCAGAATCTATCGTCTGACATCCCCCCTGCTACAATCAGTGAACTGAATGGGATCTGAACTCCAACCCAAGGCTAGCCCTTCAAGGGACAACTCTGTGCCACTTGGAGTAGGCACTTGGGCATAAACCAGTGAGGGGAAAATTGACTTTATACATGGGCAAGGGAAGTCCTTGGTTTTAAAGGACTCCCACCAGGCTCTGCAATAGTAGTTGGCCAAGATCTTCACAAGTTCTTTGGGATCCCTGATACTGCCAGATGCAGTGAATAGGAAGCATATGACTGGGGGTTACATGTGGGTCAAGGCAAAGGCAAAGAGAAAGAAGCTGTGCTCTAAGGGCTGACCATGACACTGGTGGCTGAGAACACGGCCCAGTAATGGCACATTTAAGAGGTGAAGAAACACGTGAAGAGACTAGAGTACACACCTGGAACCTCACAACCAGGGCATATGTATAGGGTGGAAGCCACAAACTGAAGCAAAGCCTTGCCCAGGACTTCCTGTTGGAGTTTGTGTGCTGGACACAATCACCATGAGGCTGTTCAATAAGGGCATTTTGTAAACAATTTTGATGTCCTGATTCAAAGCGGCTTCACTTGCCTCATGGGGTCGGTGTCCAGGAGAGCAGAGAGGTACAGACAGTGTAATGCTAAGGAAGGCTTTGAGATTTCCTTGGGTAGGCTAGGGCTTCATGAAGGGTCAGCTTACCTCCCATCCCTGGCACGCTGGTCTCACTGGGGTCATTTGGATGTGGAACTGAAGGTGGTTCATAGCCAATCACCAAGTCAATGGTGGCCTGGGTGGAAATAATTCATTACAGATAGTATCAGTGCAGGGCACTGGAACATTATGGACTCAATGCAAATCACATCACCAGGAGTTAAAGTCCTAAGAAAAGGTGAGCAGGGGGATGGGAGCAGGGGAAATGGAGAACAGAGGATGACGCATATCTTCCCAGCGTGACCCAGGTGGAGTATGAAGGCCCGAAGCCTGGGAAAGGAGTTACCCAATACATTGCCAAGTGTTTCGCTGCTGAGGGACAACCTCATAAACTGGAAGAAAGTTGAGATAAGCATGCATGAACTTGTAGTTAACCTCCACCCTACACTGGAGATGGGCTCCAATCACAGAATTAAAGGCACAGCGGTTCTTTTTAAATACTTAAGTTGTTTGTTTGCTCATTGAGTTCATTAATTGCTAGGATTTATTTTCACACTTCTCTGTACAAAAAATTTTAAGGAACTAAGAAGAAATTATATAACAATGTGATTTATAAAATAAGATGATAAAAAGGAATCAAGCCTGATTAAAGAGGAAACAACTATGCAAATCATGGAGTTCATGGTAATTGCCATTCCTCTTGCATAAAATGTGACCCCAGGATGGCCAGGAGCCAAGGCAAAAATGAGAACAAAAATGTTATATAAATTTCATTATCAGAAAAGAAGAAACACGCCAGTTCCTTACAGAAGATAAATTAATTCAACCTTTAAAAATTCCTCACTTGGGCAAAAGTAAAAGGCAAAAGATTTATGAGCTCTCAAGAAAACCTAGAATATACACAGGCAATACTTTAGGGAAGCATAATTAGGGCAGAAATACTTTTGTATTCCATAAATCATGAATCTACAAAAGTTCAAAAATGTTAGGGGGTCTGAACATAGAGTTGCTAACTCGTACCTTGCAAACACATACTACCATTTACTATTACTATCGTTTCAAAAATAAAGGTATTTTCACAGCAGAAATGAGGAAGGACAACTTCAGAAAGGATGACACATGCACATGTGTGCACACACATCACCCACACGACCACATAAAATCCCAGAAATAATACACAACATTTAGCACATGTTTATACTGAAAATCATTCATTGTTTAGCTGAAGTTCAAATTTAAATGGATATCCCATGTGTCTGCTGAGCAGTGTATACTTCTTCATGGATCAGCATATTCTGTGGTCAATGTAGGGATTATGGCCTGGGAGACACTGAACAAGGAAAATGAATAATGTCCCTAACAGCAGCTTCATGGCAAATGATCACTGGAACAGCATCTTAGATTGCTAGAAAGAGCCAGGCTACACTCAGACGGTGAAATGCAGGAAGACAAAGGGGCTCAATTGCCAAACTGAATTGAAAGATCAAATTTTAAACCAGAAGAATACATGAATGGCTCAATCTCTGGATCAGTAGCTTTTTAAATGGGATTCCCATAGGTGGATCCAGGGATCCCTAGCAGGGGGGGTGGGTGGTAGGAAGGTGTCAAGGGGGAGACTTGAGTCCCTTAACTTTCCTTATTCCACTCATTCATCACAATTCTGCCATGTCAGGGGTCTATCTACATATGTTTTCTTCTGTGCTTAAAAACAAGCAGCCAGAAAAATCACTAACTTGTACCATCCTACCTAAGTGTCATTTCTCTCAGCCAGGTTTTTGGTAGATGGGTGATAGCCAACATTTGGAATTTACATTTATGCTTAGAATGTTGATTTCCAAGCATGATTAGATTCCCACATTCTAAGTGCTTACAGCAAATCTTTATGTTTTGACTAGACCAGCAAAATTAACATTGCTAATGGATGTTGAGATGCCTGACCTGTATTCTTGCCTTCAGGACTGGTCTCTTTTAGTATAAAATGTTCTTTATTTGCCTAGGTGGCTAAGGAAAAATGAAGGAGCTAAAGTGGCAAGCATGGTGGTTTTATGAGCACTTAAGCGCAATCATATGGAACCTCAAAGCTGTGATACTTGAGTCAATTCCTTTTTACAGTATATGAGCAAGAGGATTCTTATCTTACATTAGATAATATCAATATGTACTTATCTAGAGAGGCTGTGATCAGAAAACATTCAGCTGCCAATACAATAATAATGATCTTAATATTTGCATCTTGATATTCCAAAGTAATATTAATGAGTTTTCTTTATATAACAGTTCAAGGAGTGTGTGATAACATAGAGGGACAGTCACCACAAATGTTAACACACACTGGAAAGATGCGCAGTGACACCAACAGAAGGTCTCACTCTTAGAGCATTCTGTCATAGAAAATCAAATTTATCTGATTTGCTAGTTCTGTGAATGAGAGTATTAGACTATATAATTTGTTTAATCCCAAAACTAATTTCTGCTTTCTGTGTAGTGAGCTAATTATAATGCCATACTCTTTTCTTAGTAAATTTTCACTTAACCATCACACTTCAAAACCATCCAATAGGGGGCCTACTTGGTGGTGCAAGAGGTTAATAAGCACAGCCCTATGAAACTATCTGCAGGCTCTGCAGCACGAGTTTGATCTCAGCTGGTCAGGGAGCTACCTACATGGCACAGCAGACCTCTCCTGTCTCTCCAGCTACTCCCCTCAGCAGTGTATTTGTCAGTCTACCTGTTCTGTTCCCCACTCTGTCTCTGGTGAATCCTCTTAGCCCCCATGCCTCTGGCTGTACCCCATTTCTTGTATGCATAAATAAACAAATCTTAAAAAAATATCCAACAGGAAGGGAAATGCTCACCCCAGTGTCTTGTCCTCTTTCGTTTAGCAGGGTGATCTGTTTGTAGGGCAGTGACCTGCTTTGGTCTCCAATCAGGTCCTTCAGGGCAACAGAGGCCGTGCCAATTAATCTGCAGGGAAACGAGAGAGCACACAGCAGCCCAAGTAAGACACGCTTCCATGTACTTGTTGGACTTCCTAGTTCCCTTCTTAATCACCTGTTATTATTAACATCACTCATCATCAAATATGGCCATTTTGTTCTCACCCTAGCAGGGTATTTTAGCAGTAAACATGAAATATCACTTCTTCACAACAAATAGCTATTTCATGAGTCAAACTAGAGACACTCTAAAGTGATAAATCATGAATGAGATAGATGGATGAGAGGCAAAGACAGAATACAGACCCCCAGAATCCAAGAAGAAACAAAAGTAGGACAAAATTCAGACATTCCTTTGTCATGGAAATTTGAGAGGATCCATAAAACACAAGAAGACCTTCCTGAAGTGTAAGTATGTTGTTAGTTTGTTGCTGGGACTAATTTGCTACCATATATTCTCTTGAACAGCATTCAAGAGATTGTGTACTTCTCTCTCTTTCTGGACTCTGAGGGGTTATGTTCAGTCTCCACACTCACACATCTAACTCTCAGTGCACACATTATATTGGTGCAGGAGAACCTGTGTGTTCTGCTGAAGTGAAGCTAATTTTTAGGGCCAGAGAATAGAGACTACTTAGAGTATATAAACTCCAGTGCCTGGAACATAAGACATTCCTTAAAAGATATTTACTGAATGAAAGAAAGAAAAAATAAATATTGAGAATGAATACCCAAAACATCTTAATAGGTAGGACATGTGATCAAACAAGTGGGTAAACCACACATCCCAAGGGAGTTGGCCAACATAAACATGTAACCCATGAAATGAAAGTGGGGTTTCTCAATGAAACATGAGATGAAAGGGGGTGAATTGAAGACTTTTCCTTTCTGCAATACAATCAAAAAGCAGAGACCCCAAGGGGTATGCTCTCAGCATGGATACTAAAAAAAGAAAAAGAGAAATAGTAGGAATTTTAAAATGAGATTTACTTATACCTCCTCTATATTTGCAGCAACTTATACTAATAAATAGTAGATATAATAGCATGAAAGATTATTAGCATAAAAATAGAAAACTAAACATCAAGTCCTCAAAGTGATAAAAGAGATCCTTTATATCCAAAAACTCAGACTAAATAAATCTTAGTTGAGCATACAACTTAATTCTGGCTTTGGGGGCAAAAATAATCAAGAAAATTGATCTTGTTGAGAAATACTCATTTTATCCTAAAATGTAGTAAGGTTTCTTTAAAAATTAGGACATGAATATAGTGTCAGAGTGGGTGCATGATTTTTGAATGGCCGTATCTGTGTTCTCCTCCCCCACTCTGACCTCAGCAGTAGGACAGATTATAACCCTGGCCTCTGTCACCCAAACACATATATCCAGTGACTCGGCAATATAACCAATGACTTCACTGACTATAAAGGGATATATCACATAAGACCACAAAATGCCATGGCACCTGCTTCACCCAAGGAAATGAAGCATTTGCACATATTTTCTTAAAGATGACACCTTCTTAGAACACCACAAGAAGCTCAACGACATGATCTATTCCCACCTCTTCTAATATCACAATGGAGTCTGCTCCTGGCAATGGAAATGAAAAATTCTGCCCCCAGATGGATAAGATTGAACTTTTCAGCCTTTTTAAATCAATACAGAAATTAGCTCTCAGTCAACACTGAGATGATGGAACCTTTAGAGAATACTTCTTCAGATGAATATGTTTCCTCAGTATGTGTATTAGATTTTTTTTTTACATGAGTGTATTTTCTCCTCACTTAAATTTTTTACTTCTTTGACATAGGAGCAAGACTCTACACCTGCCTCCATCTCCATCAGATAAAACAGGTAAACTCCCACCAAAGGTGAGAGCCCCTAGCAAAATCTCTTCTACATGTCCCTTAGCCCCACATGGTGTGAGAATTTCTCTCCATGTTTTAAGAAAAGGAAAGTAAGCCAAGGGTTTGGCAAGTGGAGTTTTTAAGAAGAACAAGATGTGAAGATACAGGATTAAAAGTCATCTGACTGGTCTCAGATGTCAAAATGAGGTATTAGCCTTGAAAGATGTGGAAATACACTGAATTTTTTCCCTCACAGTCCCATGATTCATAGTTTAACTTTGTGATTAAAATAACACTGCACACTTGCACATGTACTGATTTGTTTTTGCTAAAGTTAGGATGGTCTATAGTGATAGACCTCTATAGTGATAATTCTTAGGAAAATAACAAAAAGTGCGGCAAGCTGAGACCATGCTCAAGTAGGAAGAGGGCTGGTTAGGCTTGGCCCAGAATTTCTCAACCTTAACACCATTGACATCTTGAACTGGGCAGGTCTTCGTCTGAGGAATTATCTTGTACCTTGTCCCCACTCGTATCTCTATACACTGCCAGTTGTCCCCTGGTGGACAAAAATCACCCCAGGTTTGAGAACTAAGGGTAAGAAGATTCTTCTTCTAGACCTAACTCTGTCCTAACTTCGAGACCTTGGGTAAGTAACCTAACTCTCTGAGCTGACTCCATTATCTGTGAAAAAGCAGATTGAAGTAAATAATTTCTCTGATTCTTTTCAGGACTAAAAGTCTGCCACTAGGCTTGTATGTGTTACATTTTCTACATTTATCTAGGAAAGTCTCCCCTTAAAGCCCTGGTTGAATAATTTAGGAAAAAGTAGACCCTAGAAAATATCCATGTTGGATAATTCAGAATATTAGGCAGGGTTTTTGCCTTCATGGGAATTGAGCTATAATGTCGTAGGTCAAACTTAAATTCACACAGCGTGTCAAGGAAGAAAGATTAGACTGAGAGAGGGAATGTAGATTACAGTGAGAGATATGTAAGACAACAGGGAGTGGTAGGGCTTGTAGAAAATAGGAGAAAACAGAATTGCCCAAATCTCAAAGCCAGTCTATTAGTCTGCCATGACCCTGAATGTCTTTATAATTCCATTCCGATACAACTAATATCTGCTGCTTTCCTTTCCTCATGAGAGAGTAATAACATATAACTGACTAGGAATGGAGTAAAATAAAAAGCCAGTTAGAAAGGTTTACCTCAATTCCTTCTTTTAAAAACCTTTAGTCCCATTTCTTAACATGAGCTTTTTTATCACCAAATTCTGATGTTTTGGGAGAAGAGTTAAAAGAAGACCTGGCTTTCTTTTTTCTAAAGCAAAAACCGTGTTTAGAGAAAAGCAGGGAAAGACTTAAATTCCCAGAATATTTTCAATAGTTAGGTAGAGTTGAAGAAAAACGCAAACATTTACAATTTGTCAGAGCTTTCACTGTAAGTTGAACATTCCCTGTGGGTACGGGTGAGCTCCAGGGCACGTCTAGCCTAGCCCGCCTATTTTGTAAGATGTTGCTTGGATACAAAACACTATGAGGGACTGGGAAATGATGACTTGGCCTCCTACTCAGGGGATAAGCACAGTTGGCCTACAAGCCAATTTCCTTTAAAGGAGTTGACACTAAACCAAGAACCCTTTCCTTTCATGTTACTAATGCTATAAAAATGCTAAAATGTTACAGCGTGACTGTAAGGGGACACTTTGCCCTGTATTTTCATGGAAAAATAAATTCTTCCTTGGACTCCACCCAACATGAAAACTGATGGACCATGCGCAAAAGGAAACTTGAGTGACAGAATCTCAAGGCCCTTGAGCTGAGGCCCTCCCCAGCTTTACTTGAGGAATTAACAAACTGCAGATGTGTTCTGAAATGAAGAAAGGGCCTATTCCAGGCAGTTCCTGAAAATTATAGTTTTGAGTTGGGTCACTATGCTACATTGAATCAATCCCAAGCAGTGGAAACAATTACTTAAAAATTAGAAGTTATAATGGGGAGGTGGAGGGGAACCTAAGTGTTTATTATAAACTGGTCAACATAGTCATGCTAGTGCTGGTTAAGAACTTCTTCAACTGTTTCTCGTCAAACTAGACAAATCTACTCCAGGTCTGAATAGAAGAGAATAGAAAATGTCCTCCCCATTAGCATCAGTACAAATGGTCAACAGCCACATGCCACTGTGGTGAGCAAGGCTTTGCCTTACTCCCCTCAGGGGGCTCACATAGAACTGTTACTCTTTTGCGCAGCAGGGAGGCAGCCTACTGAAATCACTGGAGGAGAGTTCACTGGAAATTCGTTCATGAAGGAAAAGAAAAATGTGCTGGAGGCTGAAAGTAAATCACATGTTGCACCGTTTCTGCCTCTGCAGACTTGTATTTCCCTCCTCTGAGCAGGGATGCCTTCCCCAACTGGTCTGGGCACAAATACTTTTCTGAGCTGCCCCCACGGCCCCTGTAAAAAACCCAAAGGACCCTTGGTTGGAAGCACTGTTTAGAGCCAACTGAGATTTATTTTATTTTGGTCAGGCTTGTGTGATGTGTGAGGGGTTCTCGGGGGGCCCAGGATCTCTTGCCCACACTTTTCTTTCCCCTGACCCAGGGTCCTCTCCTCCTCTGGCTCATAACCTAAAGGTGGGAGGGCCAAACTGGCACCTTGTTCTCAAGCAGATGGTGGGAGAGGCAGGGGCAGCGAATTTTATTAGAGGAGGCCCTTAGAAAGAAAAAAAAAAAAATACCTCAAAGAGCATACCCTATTCCCATCTTCTGTCCAGTTGCACCAGTGGGGAACCCTCCTGAGTCACCCAAATGGCACACCCAAGCACCTGGATTAGCTCACACCCTGAATCTTAGAATTGGCCTCCCCAGCTCTCCCTGCAGTGGATTCTTGGGGCCCTGAGCCAGACATTAGTTCATTCTTACACCTAGAAATTTTGAGAAATAATGGTTTCTCAGAGTGATCCTTACAGGGGCACCGGGAAGGAGGAGGAAGGGCAGAGGACTGAGAGCAGTAGGGAAGGCAGCTGGCAAAGACACATTGAAGGAGAGGGGGCTTGCCTGTTTTTAAAAATACATTCAGTATGATAATAATACAGGTTTGCATTTGAGAAGTGGCAGTAGCAATCAATTATTTAATAGAACAAAGTAGTAAGCAACACTCTATTAATCTCAGCAGG